CATTTCTGGGAGTGGAAGAATTCCTTGCTGCTTCTCAGTGCATCTACTTTTGGCCCCAGGAGTCAGGGCTTGGTGTTTCCTGGGTGACCGAGAAAGATGTTCCCTGTTTCTGCCAGGGATGAGCTGAGTGTGACCTCAGTAGAAATGGTCAAATTATGTGTCTAATCACAGGAATAAGTTTCCAAGATGACCTAGGACCAGTCTGTTCAGTGGCAGGGTAAGAGCCAAGCTGGCTGTCATGAGCTGCAGGGTATATGAGTCCAAGGCTTTTGCAGGACTGAAGAACTACAGCAAGTTACACTTGTCACAGAAGTGTGTAGCATCAGGCTGGCTGATCTACCCAGCTTGCATAGAGAGTATTTAGGCGTTTGAGAAAAAGAAATCTGGATTTAGCTGAATCGTAAAAACAGTTTAGACGTTACCACAGCGTCTGCCTGAACTCAGACTGGTTTCCTGTTGCTACCAGCCTTGAGTCAGAGCTGGGAGAGTTTATTTCTGCAAGGAGGGGTTCTGCTGACAAGTTCATGATTGTTGACATTTGGAAGTGGGAGGTGAAACTAGCTTAGCTACAGAAACTGGATGCCAAACAAGCCAGACGGCCTCAGATGTTTATCACCTTCCTCAGCTTTCCAAACGGTCCTCAAACAGTTCACAATAGGCAATAAAGTAACAGTAATTCCTGCATAAGCCTCCTCTTCCCGTCTCTCAGGTGGTTCTTTGATCAGCACATCGACGTACTACGTTATATGCAAGTGGAACAAATAACATGTTTTTTAAAACTAGGAAAAGCTTCTCAGTACAGTAAGCGGATATCATAACCATTTGATAGTTGGCTCTTCTCAGCAAAAGATTTAATGTCTCTTTGCAAATGTGAGCAAAAATTGTAATTCAGAAAGGAGAAAAACATCCTGTGGCAGTCGCTGAGTGACTTGGTGCTGATGGCACCCTTGATATTTTCAATATTGCTTGCTAAACAGTATTTGGTGAATTATCCAAGGCTGCTTATTGTTAATTGTTCAGTGAAGTACTTTTGATATAACATTAATATTTCCAGAGCTTAGATACGAACAGACACAGAGGCACGTTGTTTTCTATCAGCTCTCCAAGTGGGTTTTTTTCAGTTGGGGAAAAAAAGTAAAGGGAGTGTATATTCCGGATGGTGCCACTCAGCAGGGTAAATCCTTCATGTGTCATCTTAATTACAGGGAAAACAAAATTATTTGTTGCATCCAGTGCTTTATATGAATCACGGTGAACTGAGCTTTTGCACTTTTGCATCAGCTGTTTTATATTTTAACATGTCTTCACAATAAACCTTTTCTTCCAAGTAGGCTGTCCTTAAAAGCTATTCCAGTCTAGATTCTCTGATCCACACATGATGCACGCTACTCTGAGAAGCTGTGAGACATCAGCCTAGACTGCTGTAAGCCCAGTTGCAGCATTGCTGCATGACCCCTGCTTCTTCATGTGAAATAACAACTCCCTTTGTTCTTGGAAATGCAATACCTCTTCTTCCTTTAAAAAACACATCTAAGCTGATGACAATGACATTGTTCCCATAGAGTGTTGTTGTAGTGATGCTGATAATACTTGGCTGGCTGAGAGTGTGAGGCTTCAGTCTCGACTCAGGATCACCCAGCTCTGCAGCTGTGTTGCAGGGATAGTTGGGAGAACTGTCCTTTGTGGGCTGTGGTCTGCCTCCAGCCAGGGCTTGTTGAGGTTAGATGAAAATTGCTGTGAGGTAATGAGGCCTTCACCTGAAAAGTTTATGAGTGGTTAAAGAAGATCTGGCTCACACAGTACTCACTGAACAGTTTTATTAAAATATATTAGTGTCCATATGCAGCAAGAGTTTGCTCCCTGTGTAGAATTTCCTTCCTTTTTTTTTTTGTCATTTGTTGTTTCCAATATCAGCTACAAATGTAAAAGCAGAAGCCTGGAACAAGAGTAGGCTTACTTGAACAGGCCAAGGCCGAAATCCTGGGTTTGGCTCTACGTTTGTGTTTTGGGGATATGGTCTGTGCACAACACGAAAGAACACTTTCATCTTGAGGCTTCAGGTTAGCTTTTAAGATTTTCAATGGAATTTTACATTGAAGATGATATTTTATTGTTGCATTCATTGATATTGCCCTAATTGCTTGATTGAACCAATGCAGTGAAAAATACAGAGATATGAAATAATGGATGCATCTGTGAACTAGAGGGATGCATGATGAGCCAGGGCAGCATTGTCTATGTTATGTGGAGTTTGTGTGTTATTTGCACAGTCAGAAATGACAAGCACTCTGGCAAGACATGGAAAGGAGTGAGCAGGGTGAGGACAGGGTTCCTCCAGAGCTGTGCCTGCATCACGAGTTGTTTGTCCTCCTTTTTCTCCTCCCAGGTGCTGTGCTCACTTTTGCTTGTCGTGAATCCTGCCAAGCATGGTGCCAGATCATCAATGTGTCTGAATCACACTCACCTTTCCTCACCTCTATGGATGGGACTGTCAGTGAAATGAACTGGAGTATTTCCATGTCTGCTGGAAGCAAATATCGCCTCTACATTGGCTTGGCTTTGGCAATAGGTTCCAGTATCTTTATCGGTTCTAGTTTCATACTGAAGAAGAAAGGACTCTTGAAGCTGGCAGACAGAGGAGTCACCCGAGCTGGTAAGTGCTGGTGCCTCCATTGCTCCTGCTGGGAGCACAAACACCACTTATAACTTGTCAAAATCAAGGTTCAAGTCACAAATCACATGTTTAAAACCAATGTACTTTAATGGTGATCAGAAGTCTCATCTTGGTGAGGGATGGAGACTCTGCATGTGATTACAGGGACTGGGATTTCAGAATTCCTAGGGCTATGGGAGTTGCAGTGGGTATTAAATCTACTGAGTTTATGATATTTCCTCTCTGACAGCAATTAGTTACCAAATAAAATTCTCCATTCATCTTACCATTCAAAATGCCTTTCGATCTCCCATCTCTTTTCCCCCTCATTTGAGATAGAAGGGTCTTAAGATGGTAACTAGGGTTAGTTTTTGTTTTGTGTTGATTTTTTTAAAAAGTAAGTGAAATGAGTTATAGAAAGGATATTTATTACAGAAGTTTCTACACTTAGGACAACTATCCATTCATCAAATCAATAGATGAAGAACTAGAAAAAGACCAGTTGGACTAATCCCATCATTCCCTTCGCATGGATTTAAATGCATAGCATGAGCAGTTTTTCTTTTGTTGTTGTGTTTATTGCAATATACTGTTCCAGAGAATTTGGTTATTTGAAAAAGCTGTTACTGAGTATTCAGTGTACTTATGTTTTATATAAAACAAATTAATGCATGCTGTGGCATTTTTCTTTCCAATTTCATCCAATTTAAAAAAAAAGCAGAGTCCAACTGCAGCTGACCATACGAATATATTGGATCTGACCTGGAAAAGCACTTTGAAACATTTCTTAAGCTCACCAACAATCTTTGTGTACGTTTTATTTTTGCTTGGAACTTTCCCTCTATGTATATTTAGTCAAATATCATTTTTCAGAAGTCCAAGCTACACAGCAGTAGAGTGACTAGTCAAATGAAATATTCTCCATGTCTCATCTAGATAATATGCCCTTTCCGTACTTTGTAGAGCTAGGTGCAAATGTGAAGCTGTAGGTTTTTTTATTATAATAAGGTGATCTTTTTCTTCTAGATGAGGTTATTTTTTCTGCTTTCAGGACAAGGTGGATATTCTTACTTGAAGGAATGGCTTTGGTGGGCCGGACTGTTATTAAGTAAGTCATCTCTTTCCTCTCAACCTATATGTAAATGCTACATAAAGTGTGCTGGTTTTGATGGGGTAGAGTTAACTTTCTTCACAGTGACTAGTATGGGGCTGTGTTTAGGATTTGTGCAGGGCACAGGGTTGATAATGCAGAGATGTTTTTGTTATTGCTGAGCAGAGCTCACACGGAGCCAAGGCCTTTGCTGCTTTACGTACTGCCACACTGGCAAGGGAAGTAGAGGTGCATGGGAGGTTGGTACACAGCTGGGACAGGTGACTCAAACTGACCAAAGAGATGTACCATACCATAGGACATCATGCTCAGGATATAAAGAGGGAGGAAGAAGGAGGAAGGGGGGAGACATTTGGAGTGATGGTGTTTGTCTTCCCAAGTAACTGTTTTGCATGATGGTCCCTGCTCTCCTGGAGATGCTGAACACCTCCTGCCCATGAGAAGCAGTGAATTAATTCCTTGGTTTTCTTTTCTTGTGTGTGCAGCTTTTGCTTTCCTATTAAACTGTCTTTATCTCAACCCATGAGTTTTCTAGCTCTTACCCTTCCAATTCTCTCCCCCACTGGTGGGGGAGTGAGCAAGGAGCTGTGTGGGGCTTGGTTGATGGCTGGGGTTAAACCATGATAAATAGATTGTTTTAAAGATATTTATTCCTTGATTTTTCACTCCCTTCACTTAAAAGGAATGTCCTTGCAATCATGTTCATGACAGAAATCATTCTGATATGTTGTCTCTCAGATACTGCATTTGCTCCTTGGAGCCCTTTTCAACTTTTCTTTAACATCCAGTCAAATTGGGAATTGGGTTTGTTTAGCCTTGAGAAGAGGTGGCTCAGGGGTGACCTCATTGCTGTCTATGACTACCTGAAAGGGGGTTGTAGAGAGGTGGGGAATGGTCTCTTCTGCCATTTCTGCAGTGAGAGGACTAGAGGGAACAGTCATAAGCTGAGATGGGAGATTCAGATTAGATGTTAGGAAAAAATTTCTTCCGTGTTAGGGTGTTCAGGCACTGGAATAGGTTGCTCAGGGAGGTGATGGAGTCACCATCCCTGGAAGTGTTTAAGAGGCATCTGGATCTGGCACTGGAGGATATGGTTTAGGGATTACAGTAGAGTGGCAGGTTAATGGTTGGACTTGATCTTAGAGGTCTTCTCCAACATTGACGATTCTATGATTTTATGAAAAGCAATGAGATTGCAACTGTCCACCTTCTAGGAGTACTTAGGAGAAAAGTATTTAACTTTCTTCAGCCTTTTTTTTTCCAGAAGAGGTTGTGCAGACGATTTTGAAAGGAAAATTTGCCTATATAGTGTAAAAAAATATTTGGTTTATATTTGCTATCATAGCTGTCATATAAAATACATACAACAGTGTGCCTTTTATATCCCTCCCAAGCTCATCCAAATGTTCTTTCTTCTGCAGTGGGATTAGGAGAAGCTGCAAACTTTGCTGCCTATGCCTTTGCACCTGCAACCTTAGTTACCCCCTTGGGTGCACTGAGTGTTCTCATAAGGTTAGTACCAGCTTGGAGCAAACCTTGGCAAATGAGCCATTCACTGCATGAGGGAAAAGTACTGTCTTTGGCTGAAAGTAGAGGATTTTAGAAAGTAAACTGAAAAGCAATATGTGAACAAAAAATGCCTTTTGTTCCTTGGTGGAAAGACTCTTTGCTTATTTACAACTGAGTTTTCTGGGTAAACAGAATTAGAAGTCTTGTTCCAAAGACCACTGTAAGCATTCCCAACAGCCTTCCACCTATACTATAAAGTATTTCTTACCAGTTTTATTATATCCTATGTATTAAGAAACAAATAATTTTCAAGCACTTAAGCACATATATTGATGTGGCTGTCATAGCAGCAACAAAGACATAGATTATGCTTACAGAACTGTTTGGGAAACAATTTATTAGCAAAATTAAATTATTGTATTTTAAGTGTAGAACTTATTTTTAAAACCTGCATATACTGTATGAAACATGTTAAGAACAACCTGGGCCAGATAATTTTTTTATAAAAGATGTTTGCAGTACTGTAACTGCTAAAAATGCAGCTGTTCTGTCATAGCAAAACTGATGTAACTTAGTCAGCCACAGTTGTGCTGGGATCAGCATGTAGGTAAGTGCAGATTAACTGGCTGCCTGGCTGCTGCTTTGCAAAACAGCTAGAGTTTTATTGCCCTCTCTATGATGTGGGCAGCAATCTTTCCAATTTTCATGAAACAAAGAGGTTATGAGAATTTTGTGTCAATGAACTTGTTACCCTTGTGTGAAAAAAGTCACAATTTTGATCAGTGGGTTTAAAAGCTATTTCTGAGTGTGTCCACACACCATTATGCCTGTGTCTGTGCCCAAGGTTCTGCTCTAACGGGTTAAGCATGTGCCCTGTGAGATGGCTTCATTTTGGGCCATGTTATTTTCCTTAGGTTAAATCTTGAACCCCTTGGAGAACCTGGGGTCAGTCCTCTTTGGAGGGGGAGATGTGCCTTCCCTGTGTTTTGGGAGGAATTCTGTCAAGCCAGGCTGAACTCTGCCTGAGCAGAAGAGACCAGGAAGGGATGAGGGGCAATATCCAAAACTCATGTGCTTCTAATGGCAAACAAAATGCTTTAAACCATTTTTTAAACAAAAAAAAACAGCTCACGTGCTTACTTTTACAGGTGGGTAAGTGCATACCCCTGACCCAAGCAATCAGGAATGGGAAATTCCTTGAGCAATTCAGACCCTTTACAACCTGGAGGGAAGCAATCAGGGTTGCTAACCCTGCTAAAACCTGACCTGACTTGTCCTTCCTGGTTATGACCAGCTTTCTTGAAAAACTCCTTACAATTTGATTGTTTCAGGCTGGTTTGCCATATATCCAAATTCAAAAGAGGTTTTGAATTGCTTTCATACTACACAGACAGATTTTGAGTGTCTTGCACGGCTGGTATTTCTGAACCTTTTATTTATATTTTGCTAAACAGTGCTATATTGTCATCCTATTTTTTAAATGAGAAGCTGAATATTCATGGAAAGCTGGGCTGTGTACTGTGCATTTTGGGGTCAACGGTCATGGTTATTCATGCCCCAGAGGAGGAGGAAGTCACCTCACTAGATGAGATGGAAAGAAAGCTGCAAGATCCAGGTCTGTATGCAATTGCAGTGAATGTGTGCTACAGTTCATAGAGAAGTGTTCAGGACACTGAGCATGTACTTGGACATAGTCTGGTATTTTATCTCATGTGCATTATTCTTCTTTCCTTTCCTCTTTCTTACAGTGTTCATTACATTTGCTGTTCTCCTAACAGTTGTTGCCCTTGTCCTGATTTTTATCATGGCTCCAAGGAAAGGTCAGACAAATATACTGATCTACATTTTAATTTGCTCACTCATTGGTGCCTTCTCTGTCTCATCTGTGAAAGGCCTGGGCATTGCCATTAAGGAAATGCTGGAGCAGAAGCCAGTTTATCAGCACCCTTTGGTTTACATTTTGGTGGGCACCTTGGTGCTCGCAGTCAGCACTCAGATCAACTATCTCAACAAAGCATTGGACGTGTTCAATACATCTCTAGTGACACCCATTTATTATGTGTGTTTCACTACAACAGTTGTGACATGCTCCATCATCTTGTTCAAGGAGTGGAGTAGTATGCAAGTGGGTGATATAATTGGAACCCTGAGTGGGTTCTGCAGTATCATTGTTGGCATTTTTCTACTGCATGCTTTCAAAAATACTAACATCACCTGGAGCCAGCTGATGTCCACTGTTGCCAAACAACCACACAGTGAATATGAAACCAGTCACACTTTACTGGAGAGCATGGAAGACCCAGCTTTGGCATATGATGACAACATTTTATTCAGTCAGTGAAACTCTCAAGCAGTGTTCGTCAACAAAGGATCATGAATTGCAGACTCAGCCCTCCCATGTCTACTAGAATGCTCTTCTTTTCTTCAATCCTCTGAAAAACTGTCTGTGAGGTTTGTGAAGTGTGGGCCACTCCTCTGTGTGTCAGCCCTTGGCAGTAATGAATGAAAATGTTCAATAATTTATGTGACAGACAGAAACCTGAGGGTGATTATATCTTAGACAATGAAAATCATTGTCCGTTTTTTATGCAGCATCTCCTATTGGGGAATTTTAGCAGAAAAGAATGATCTTTGTAAGCCACATTTACAAAATGCAATATTCTGGTAATGGTGAAAGATAATCCTAGCTGAAGTGACAAGTTCTCTGCTATTACCTTGGTGATAGCATTAATGTTTCAGGCTTTCTTTGTATTTTTATAATTTATTGCAAAACAAGCTCATAGATATTCTATATGAAGGGTATTTGTTAGAGACATAATATGAAGAAAACAGCGTTTGGTTTTAATATAAAATTTTATGCAAGATTTTTTCACTTTTGATCATCTACCAACGAACCTTAAACAGATGTCATAAAAAAATTTAGCAAATACAGTTCTTGGTAGCCAGCCTCCTTCAAAATTAATTATATTACACCAAAGTCTCAGCTATTCTTCCCGAGGAATCCTGAATGGATTGCAGGTCCCTGAATGTGCCTGTTTGTTTCAAAACCAAAACCAAGTTTAAGAAAAAGCAAATTCGTTAGAGGCCTGAAAACAGTTGCTATTTGCTTTAAGAACTACATCAGATGAAAGAATAAAATATTCAAAGGCAGAAGAAAACCAGAATGTGCAAGTAAGAATTTCCACGCTGTTTTATATTACCTTGAGGCTTAAGAAGGGGCTTCACTTATTTCCATACTTCTTCCTATTAATCTATTAATCAAAACCCATTTAAACATTTCATTTTTTTTTCTCATTTTCTGGAAAGGCATAATTCTCTATTAATTATAAAACAGTCCTGTTATTTTATATTCTGTTACGAACACAAAATCCATGCACTAATTCTGAAAATATTAGGTAAAGGATGGGCTGCAAGCAAGGGGGGGTGGAACATCAAAACATCTTTTATTTTAGTTTGGCCTTTTAATCTTTTCTAAAAATGAATATTCACCTGTATTAGATGTTTTAACTATATGTTCATCTACCAGAGGCCTTGAAGATTGGTATCTGTACCACAGTGTGCTCCTCAGTTGTGGTCACTGATCTTTATCTCACAAAAACAGCTTGCATAGTCCATGATTTACACATTACAATCCCTTTTGTTTTCCACTTTGTGAACAAGAAAGTAGCTTCAGCAATCAGATGTGTGGGTCATGATGAGCTCATCAGAAAGGCAGTATTTCCAGTCTTTGGGGTTTGAACTGTGAGTCCAGAACATTTGCCAGAGGATGCTGTCACTTCAGCAGTTAAGCACTGGTTTTAATCAGCTGAGATTTATGTGCCAAGCAGGCTGTATGTTCTCTAGTGTTCAAAAAGTGTGGCAGAAGTGGACAGTTTGGATGGACAGCAAATTGCTCCGCCAGAGAGAACTCATAATTTAGCTGTAAGAACAAAAGGGTTGCTGCTGATACTTCCTATGTTTGTGTTGTGTGGAGTTTCAGTACTCCCTTTTTGAAAGACATTCTGGAAACATCTTGCTTGTTAATTACTTTTAATGATGCTTTAGAAGATGTCAAAAGCCAGAAAGTAACACTAGAGATACTGGCTTAAAGTTATTTCTAAATTCCAAGTATCTTTTTTTTTCACTTGGCTAGGTTTGTAGTTGGCACACCTACAGAAAGGAGTAGAAATTGTGTTAATCCCCTGCACCTTCTTTCTAAACACTCACTTTTACAACAAAGAGTCTATCTGAAAAATGGGATACTGAAGTGTGTCCTGTTCCTCTTCTCACAGTACTATATACATATATAAAGTACAATAAAAAATATTGCAGGTAATCTTGCTCATGTAAAGAGAAGCCCAGAAGATGTTATTGTGCAATGGGTAGTCAGGTTAGCACCTGTGATTGCCTAATTTGAGAATTACATTCCATAGTGCAGGAGGTGGCAGCAATGTTACCCCAGCAAGAGGCATTTTCATTAAAAAAGTGCTTGCCTTGAAAATACAATGACAATGCATACAGCTTTGGAACATTTTTCAGCTTCTAGAGTGATGAGACTTGAGGCAATTCTTTGATGTTTAAAATGCATATGTTGAAAAAAGCTTCAGAGAAGAAAAATCTACAAACAGGGTTTCATTACTTCTTAATGTAGAGAATACTTTGGCTTTACTGGCCAGATTTAAGCTTCAAAATCTATAGTTAAAAACAGGTAATACAAATAATAAGAAGCCTGAAGATGGAGTTTTCTTCACAGTTTTTTAAACAAAAACTTGAATTGCTTTTCACTCTCAATTACTCACACAATTTAAAGAATAACTGAACTTAGATTTACACTAAAAAGAGACATCCTTTTACATAGCTCGTGGCCCCTCTGTTTGCTTGTACAGTCATCACTGTGCTGTGACCAAATGGGTTATTTGTAAGAAAAAGCAACCAGTCCTGTTCTTGAATGGATAAGGGTCTGGAATCTTTTCGTATCAAATGCTGGCAGTCGATGAACTTGTACCAAGCAAAAATGCTGTATATTCTACTGGACCTGTGTATCTGCTTTTATAGATAAATAATAACTACTAAGAAAAGAATTTTATTTTCCTACAATGTCAGAAAACCAAGTTAATGCTTCTTTTCATGCCATACAGGAAGCTAATCATGTTAAGAAGTAAATTACTAATTAAGTTTTTATATAGAAAACATTTGCTGTAAGAGATGTTATTTTTTTAATGTTTGTATTTAGTTACTAATTTGGAATAATTTTCATTGGTTTAGTGAAATTCTGCTAATATTTCTGTTGTAATAAATTATTCATGGTTACATACTAAATTTTCTGTGGTTTTTAAACAAGGGATAAAAAATGTAGTTCATATTTCTAAACTAGAGAAGAAAACCCAAAGCTGATGTATTAGGTATCTCTTTCTCATGGCCAGTCTCAATGGAGAGCATTTCTGTGAATTGTCAGGTTTTCCAGACAGTGAAATAAAGGACATTTTCTAAACTAATTAGAAGTGTTTTGGTAAGTAGGGCAAATGGTTAAGAACTAGAACAAAGCAAACCTCAGATGCAATACACTGCTAACCAAATTATGGCTTTTAAAGGCTGATACAAAACAAATCTTGGCAGCTATTCATTATTACTATACCTCAGGACGACTTAATGGGCAATTAAGTTCATTACATGGCTGCACTGACTACGTGTAGGTAGGTCAAGAAGACTTGGATAGGTTGAATAATCTGTACGAATTTGGAAGTAAATACTTCAGTTATTAGGTACTATAGAAATCTGTTCTATCATCTTCCTTTACCTGCCTTTCCAGCCACACTTGAAAGAGCCATGCTATAAAAAAAGTTTCAGCCCAAAGAGTATGGATTCATAACTTCAACTTCTACTGGTTGTGTCCTGGAGCTATATGGAGAATTACATACTTCTAGCAAATGCCATTCTCTCACTATTTAAATTCCAGCAAAATAAAACTGGCAAGTGCATTAGAAAATAGCCTTCTGGCAGAGCAGGTTTCCCATAGCTGACTCCTTGTCCCTCCTCCCTTGTTTGTGAAACTTTTTAGAGGAGTGGGAAGGGAGGGGCTGAGAGTTGGTCTGAAAACCAAATGGCACTGAAGGTGTCACCAGCCCTGTACACAAAAGTAATTGCTGCATGGCTCCTCAGGAGCGCTTTTGCCAAGAGAATTTAACTTTCAAAAAAGTACATTCCAGTTTGTCAACAAAGCATCTTTTTCATAGAAAAGAGATATATCCTAAGCAGCTTGCTCACAGGTGATGGGAGTTCTGCCTTTTACCCTCCAATCCATGAGATGGACTTGCTCGAGTTTTCTGGTATTTGATCAGGAAACATCAGCTAACTTTTTACAAATGTTTGAACTAAGCTCACAGACACCATGAGGGCTAAGGTGGCCTACTCAGTCTTTATGGGTGTAGCTGTTCAGGTGGGTAAATACAGTGTAGATAGACCTTTGTCCTGTAGACCTTTCTTGCTGCCAGTTAAGCACTGGTTTCACTGACTGAAAGATGTTCTAGTGCTTTTTCATTTCTTTGCTGTCAGCCTTATAATAGCAGCTGTAAAATTTATCTGTGTCAGAGTGTTAGTAACAGTCTACTCATAGTTTTCCCAAAGCAGCCTACAGAAAGGTTATATTGAGAAGTGGAAGCCTGGTAGGCAAGAGTTATTGGCTGCATGGATTAGACCAGCCTGTTTCAAGGATCAGTGCATATTCACCATGGGACAGTTCAGTGAAACCAACATGAGTAGTGAGTGCCCTTTGAGTGCATAAACCTAATGGAGCTGCTTCTTACTGCATGGTACTGTAATGTATTACATATTAACTTGCAGTAATATGGCAAAACCAGTTTTGCAGGAGCTTATTAAAAAGATTCCTCATATGTTACTCCAAGCCCCATGTACTTTATATTGCAGGGACAGTTTGAATTTCACATTTGTAGCACATCATCTGCTGAAAAGCCTTGTGCTTCTTGTGGCCTGGACAGAAGATTTTGCCTGAGTGGGAGCACAGCCAGGACAGCTGATCCAAACTGGTCAAAGGGATATTCCATACCTAAAAACATCATGATTGGTATATAACCTGGGAGGAGTTGCTTGGGGGCTGCTGATTGCTGCCTGGGGCTGGGCTGGGCATCAGTCAGTGAGTGCTGAGCAATTGTATTGTGCACCACTTGCTGCTATTTTGTTCCTCCCTCTCTCCTTTTCATCGCTATTGTTATTGTTACATTTTACTTTGTTTCAATTATTAACCTGTTCTGATCTCAACCCACAAGTTTTACTTTCTTTCTGATTCTCTCCCCCACCAGGGCAAGGGGGCAGCAAGTAAGCAGCTGTGTGGGACGTAGTTGCCAT